CCCAGCCAATGCATCATGCCTGCTGTGATACCCTTTGTAACAGAGAACACAGGAAAAAGGCTATCAGGCTTAACTGGACGGGGATCATATTTACCAAGCACTCCTGCAGCAGTGTCAATAATGACCTCTCCATCTTTGTAGGCACATACCTTTAAGATATTATGCAGAATTTATTAAAACAATAGAACAAATACTTCAGCTATTTGATTGACTTTTGACATCAAATGCAACAACACCAACAATAAGAGACAAGAAGAACATCTCTAAGGTGAACCATCAATTATGTAATAAAAAAATGGAACACTTAGCTCAATAACTATATCATACCAGTAATGTATGCCAATGCAAAGATAGATTCCGTTAACTATGGACTCTCAGTTAACATATAATATGACAATATGTATACTTAAGATTTGAGGCAGTTGCTAATATTTGAGAGAATAAAAATAGAATTTATATGAAGGATGGATGATCGAGTGATATTGCTTGAGTGTAAAACAGACTCCGCCAAGGGAATTTCCATGCTGGATGATTACAGAGGAATAAATACAGAATGCAATCTACAAGAGAAAATACTTGAGCTAATTATTCTAACGCAATTTCTGAAGTTGCAAGTATCTAGGCTTTTCAAAAGTGGAACAATTATTACTATTATGTGATCCCAAATGTAATCACAAATCCCAATAGTATAAATGCTCAGATTTAATAAGTCAACTCAAATTTTTATATATAAGTTCCCTGAAAATAAGGCATATTTTGGTTTTAGTCCCTATTAAAAAATTACAAATACTGTGCTGTGTGCCCTTATTCCCTGTTGAAAGGGTAGTGAAAGACTAACAAAACACTATTTTTGTTTTATGTAGGGACTAAAAATGAAAAAATTCAACAGGGACTAAAACTGAAAGATGTCAGATTTTCATATAACCCTTTCATTTTTAAAATAAATACTACTCTGAATATAAATACTTCTCAAGATATATATGCATGTGATGGAGAGAGAAAGAGCTTGAGTTATTAGATGAAAGCCCAAACCGAAGATATTTAACATGCCCCCCACATAAAAATTCTTTGGGCTTGAAGGGTAGAAAATGTCCAAGCTCATTCTGAATGCTGAACTTCAACTTTCATTAGAAGAATGGGAAGTACAAGCATTGATCTCTTAATCACATGATCGTAGAGACTCTGATACATTGCCGAGTAGCAACTATCCCAAAAGCTTGAGTTGTTCATTGGAAGCCAAAAATTGCATTTTATATCTATAATGCATAACAATTATTAATTATTGATTTAAATAAATCTCAGTATACTCCTATCTCTGGTTTTATAGCTAAGCTACCTGGGCATGTATCCAGCATTTCAAATTCTTATTTCTTAATAATAACTAGCAATTACTTTATACATGACAAAGATTTCTGTTAAGAACAAAAGACATACATAAGTACATATATATATTCTGCCATAACGTAATTGATAATCAAACAGCATCAGGTAAACCAAAGCAAACTCGAGCTTTATTAAGTCAGAGACTAAAGAAACCAACACTAAAAATCTCAAGGACTAAAATGGAGGTTTAATCCATTAAGAAATACGACTTGCACCTGGATTCCAAGTACTTTATCATTATTTCCCATCTCAATTAGAAGCTGCCTCAGCTTGCCTTCTACATCAGAATGGACTGGTGTATCAAAAATCCATTTATCATTTACTGATGGTCCTCTACTAATGTACCTGGCAAGTGTACCTCAGTTCAGCCACAAATGAAACAAGCACGTAATAAATACCAATAATAAAATTTCAAAAGACTCACCCACTCAAAACTGATTCTGCAAATGGCCTCATAATGTCCATATATATTATTTGTACATTCATGGTGGAAGAAAGTCCTGCATCCACATCAGGTAAGTAAAATAAGACATGGGGAACAAATAAGCATTACATTCGCATCACACGGAATATAACAGACCTCTTAGAAGATTAAGAACCCTTCCAAATATTACAATATCACCAGGAAATGCATCAACCTGAAAATATTTTTAAGAAATTAACACTATCTAAAATACAATCAATAGCCTAATTTTGGAACAAGATGAAATAAATACAAGTTTATATCTGAACTCACAGGATTAAAGCGTTTCATTTCTTTTTGGTCAAGGTTCATTTTCTCCTGTATAACCTTCATATTTTTTTCTCTTTGATCGGCAAGAGATTTCATTGTTTTCTTAGAAACAGAAAAAATACACCATAATTAGGGAGAGGTTAAGTTTCTGAAACCTGAAGAAACCAAAGTATAATTCAGCAGCTCAAGGCATTCTTACATGGTAATCATTTGCTGGAGTTGTCGAACGAAAGAATATAGTTGTTACTTCCATTGCCTGCTCTGGTATGTCCAGACGCAACTTAAGCCCCATTTCGGCAAAGGCAGACAGAAGGGCCACATGATCCCCCTTCAGCAAAAAGGCTTACATACTCAGTCATCATTTAGAAGGATTACTTGGATCAATTAAGGAAAACTTGTATGAATACTAAAAATCCTATAAAAAATGTAATTAAAAAGTGAAGAAAAAAATATAAAAGTAAAAATGTACTACACAAATTGAAAGTATTTGTTCCTGAATCATATAGACACTTTATGATTGTGAACCTTTTGCTATCACTGCATGAGCACAAAGGCACCAAACCAAAAAAGCTTATTCTTCTAGGTGAGGTTGGGAAAATGGCCTTTACATATCTAATAATCCCTTTATAAGCCATTTTCTGTGGGGAACAAATTACAGTTTAGAAGCCCCCATAATATTTGGCTCAACTTAGCAACTGAAGAAGGGAGAAATTGGAAGTCACGAAGATCAAAGTACAGCCCAATTTATGATAGAGTGGCATTAACACCATGTCAAATATATCAACCAAAAATCTTAAGCTATTACTAATACTAATAGATGAAGCTAAATAAATTTATCTAACAACATGATCACTTAATATAACAAACTAAATCAAAAACAAACTTCACCAGGACTCTCTTGTCTAAACTTTGGCCTGAGAAACAGCAATCAATTTAAAGCACAACCCTCTAAAGCCAAGATAGGATAAGTTAGCTACTCTAGTCAGAGCCCAATAAATAACCAGGTAAGAGAGGTGAGATAGGGAAAAACAGGTAACTTGCTTCCAAGCCAGCAAAGCCACAAGGAACCAAGAGATCTTTGCCAGAAAATGACAATTATAACCACTACATAAACAATATACATGATATTATGAGTATTCATATAATCAAGAAAAGCACAAAAGCCAGCACCAACCTCAGCAGATGCCAAAAACATCTTTGCAAGTGCTTGCTTAATGGTGCTTGATAGTTTCTTGGTGAGCCCAAAGTCAAGTAAAATGGGACGATGTGGAGTTTCCTTGCTCACAAGAAAATTTCCTATGATGATACCAGTAAGACAACCAAAAAAGTTCATGAGAAAATGGAAAAATCAGAACTGTTACAGATAAAGTTTCTACAACAAATTGAGAAATGACATACATGTGAACAACATCATTTACACATGCATACTCAAGATCAGATAGAGAGGGAGAGAGTACCGGGATGAGGATCACCATTGAAAAACCCATCAACATATATTTGGTGTGCATAGGCACGAGTAATCTCCTCAACAATCTTTTGTTTATTTACTCCAAAAGCTTCTAGTGATTCTAAATCATTCAACCGAATGCCATCCATGTACTCCAAAATGAGGACTTTTTCTGTAGACTATCATTGGAAGGAACCAGATTATATAAACAGAAGAAATTATGGCAAAAAGAATAAGAATGAACTGGGTGCACAGGACTAGCCCAACATATTATTAGGCCTAAAGCAAATCTTAAAGTGATACTTTTAAAAATTAATAGTATCTTTTAATAAAAAAATAAATATTTAGAGATGAGCCTTGAAAAGAATAATTATATTTGTATATTTTTTAGAAATGAATCTTTTAAAATGAATTTTTAAGAATGTAAAATTGACTTTTAAGTTATGAAACATTTAAAAAATTATATAAATATTAATATAAAATATATATTTTTTAGGGGTCCTAAGGTAAGGCTTTGTTGGCCTCGCCCTTGGGCCAGCCCCGTGGGTGCACATTTTCATATGGAACCCCTATAAACTTAAGGCACCAACATCAACCCACTGGAATAGATAATCAGCATGTAACTGTGGAGAAGAAAATCATTTTTTACTTTGGTATAGGACCTTGTATTTTTAGTTTGGCATAGGACCTTGTAGGGAAATATGTAATATTCAAGTAACTTCTATTCTCACATAAAAATATGCAAAATATGTGAATGTGTCTAATCAAGTCTGCCTGGACAGGATAATGCATGGCATCATGTCACCAATGTAAGAAGGACTTTATAAATATTACAAATAAAAGGGATCATTTATTTCACACATCTTTCCCTCAATATTCAGTGATGCCTGAATTATTAGAACATACCTGAATTACATCTGGGATCAAAACATCCACTCTATTGGCATTTGTATTTCCATCATATTGGTTTCTGCAGCCAAGATTTTTAGCCACCGTTCTTGTGTTTTCTACAGAAACAAATGTAAAAGTAAGAGACGCACTTTAAGTGAAGAGGAAAAAATGAAATCAAACAAAGCCAGACAGATTGCTAAGATGAGTCTATAGATAGAATGCTAAAATCAAAGACTTATAAGCAATGTTTTAAAACTCAAATAGGTGATTGACTCGGTAGAAGTACTAGGTTAGTGGATCACAGATCGAAATAGCACTCACTAATTGAACTGCATGAACCGGTATAAAAAAAATTTAATTTAATATAGGTGTATATATTATATTTGTTAAACATAGTCCAGTGGTTTGCTGAACTTTTACTCTGTGTCATGTCCTTGGTTTGACACCCAATAGGTTCACTTTTATTATACTATACATTCCTCAATCATACCAACAGGACCATATGCATAGCATGCTCAGTGACCAAGTCTTGAGCCACGAGCTTGTAGAGCTTACAAAAGTCAGCAACACATATGCCCGAGTCCCGGTCTGATCAGCCAGTCCAAGCCAAGTTTTAAAACACTTCCTATAAGTGCTACTTAAGTCATATCTATAGATGATGTGAGACTTATTACATATCACATTCCTCAATCGCACCAATGGGACCATATGCACAGCACGCTCAGTGACCAAGTCTTGAGCCACAAGCTTGAAGAAGTCAGCAACACATATGTCCAAGTCTCAGTCTGACCAGCCGGTCCAAGCTGGGTTTCAAAACACTTCTTATAATTGCTACCTTAGCCATATCTCTAGATGATGTGAGACTAAATGTACCCCCTCACACCCAATACGATAAAGGTGCTGGAGGCTGCAATGCAATTAGGTGTAATTGCAATTAAGGGCTTAAGGCAACTTTCTAACACCCCCCCTCACATCAAGGGCTATGAGTCTAGAGTGTGGACAATGTGGGCGGCTCAACAATGAATTTACAATAGGCTCTAATATCATCTTAAAATTTGGGTTAAAGGCCAAACTCAACCTCAGAAAACCCGCTTGTATAGTGAGAATTGTCCAAGCGTTATAAGCACTACTTAGGCCATATCACTAGAAGATATGGAACTAAACACACCTCACACCAAGCACATTTAAGGTGCTGGAAGCTGCAATGAAGGGAGACCAAAAAGGACACAATTCACTTATAGTAATACACATCCCAATCTGTGCATCCAATGGATGCAGGCATACATGTTTAAATACAACTAATGTAATTACCATCCATTGTAGAAAAAGTAATACACATCTTAATACTGGTAATTTCAAAATACTATACCACCCTCTTAATAATCCCACTCAAGTTAAAACAATTATAAAAATATTGATCATTCCAAACTTGTGATAAATATAATCAAGCTATAGATGTAACAAGCTTGGTGCATTTGATTTATATGCTCCAGCTTTGGAAGAGTTGAAAATCAGAAATGAATATCCTCTACTTATGGTTTATAATCAAGTGTATCAGATTTAGAGAAAACAAAATTTCCTCTAATTGTGCGTATTTATTATAACAAGTCTATATAAACCACATTCCTTGGTTCATTGAAACACACAGTTTCAGCCCATCATATGTCTATGTTTTATCTCTTTCTTTATTCATTGGAAAGTGCAAAAGGAACATCGTATAGCTTATACTATGATTCACTCTAAACTTGGACTTCACTTAGGATATATTTTAGAAATAACTACTTTGCAATTTGCATGCATAATTATTGTTAATTCTCTTACAACATTTATTTTTCTAGATAGAAACAAAAAACAAATTGTTTTAAAGGAGGAAAGATATCGAAATAACTAGAACTCATTGATTTCTCAACATATTAGCCAACAAAACCCTTGGGAAACTCTGCTAAACACCAAACATAACCCATAAAGACATTTCTGCCTATGAAAGATCTAAGTATAAGAAAATTTCTTGAAAATCAAAGCACATTTCTCCCAAAAAAAAATGTACCAAAGATATTCTCAGATAAATTTAGATCTATTACATTAAACTTTAGAAAAGATCTGAAATTACCAGCTTCATGATTGAAGTCGAGTTCCTTAGGAGCTTCTTTGCACCATTCATCAATCATAGGATTAAAGTTATATTGTGGCTCAGCCCATGCAATCCAGTCAACAATTGACTTCGCATTTTTTAAGTCCTGAAAAACAATGAAGGTCCAAAAAGCTTTTGAAAGGCTCCATTGACCTCTATATCCATACATCCCATAGAATAAAACAAGCGAACCTCCAGTATAACTGCCTTGACACCTTCATGTTGAACTTTAACAACCACTTCCCGTCCATTGAGCAGAGTTGCACGGTGGACTTGTGCTATCTGCATAAAATGTGTAGCTCAGATATGATTCACTCAATTCAATTGAAAAAAACACTTTTCTTGTAATGATTTTTTTTATCCAAGTTATATAATCATCCTCTAGTAGCAAAAATATCCTTAGGATCTTACTGATGCTGTTGCCAAAGGTTCGTTAACAAAATCAGTAAATAGCTCATCCATTGATTTCCCCAACTCTTTCTGTATGGTGCCATAGACCTTGCATATACAAACTAAAATTCAGAAGTCTAGTAATGATAATGACTCAAGATACAAAATGAAATTCTCAAGTAGGTTAGCAAATGATGACCCTTATTCTTGTTCATGGACTGTGAAGTCCAAACTAGCAGTTCCATTTTCAACAGTACATGAGAATTTCTTTGCCAACAAAAGTACAAAAGCTAGGAATTCTTATACTAGCCTCTAATGAACAAAAATCACCTACGATGCTTAAGAAATTTAATGATTATTTTTAATTTAAACCACAATGAAAATCGTTTCCGAAAAAGCATCTATTTTCTTCTAGAACAAAAACTAGACTTTTTTAAAATTAAAACATTTGAAGAAAAACCTCTTCCAAGGGTCGAGGAGGAAGAGAGTCCTGTAACTGCTTCAAGAGACGTATATAAGCAGCAGGAAGCACATCTGCACGTGTTGACATATATTGCCCAAATTTCACCCATAAGCCTTCCATCTCTATCATCAAATTTAGAACACGCTTAGCATTACGCTCATGAGCCTTCTCCCACAATGCAGCTTGTCTAGATTTGCTAGTCCATTTCTCTCGTTGTTGTACACCCTATAGAGATGAATTCAAGAGCGAAATAGTTCATAGAGTCAATAGACTTTTTTAAGTAAAAAATCAAAAGAAACTCTTTTGGAATAACCAACATAACTTACCTTATAATCTAGGTATACTATTATGGCCATTGTAAATACTCTGATACGTCTTTTGTAAATATTTCCCCACCCCATTCTCGCAGGTAAGCTACAACACAAGATGAAGGTTATTTTAAGGCCAGATATACAGATATGGCAGAGTAACTAGATTGAAAAATATGATTCCACCAAATCAAGAACCAAGAGAGTCAAACAAAAAAAAACAGAGTAACAAATGCCCATTAAGCATTTTAACTACATAAAAGTGTTGTTTTACAAGTTAATTATTGAGGAAAAAATTCAAGTAAAATATATAAAGAGCATGTAGAGTAGTGCAATAATAGTAATTAGTAAACATACAAAACAACTGAGATTATTAAATAACTCAATATAATATAAATAACAGTTAGCTCAAGTCTATTGAAATTAGTATTTCCAATGTTAAATTAGATATAAAAACACTGATAGTACTTCACCTAACAACTTAGACGTGAGTTAGCTGGTCCATGAAATGGTATTGGAATTTACATCAACAAGATTCATGATCAATAATAAAACATAATATATACAACTAACAAATACATATAAAAGGACAAGTTCATGATCAATAACTAGAAAACATAACTCTAGGTGCATGTTAACATAAAGAAACACCAAAAATCAAAACATATAACATATGTGTGTGTGTGTGTATATATATTAGCATTTTGAAGTCAAATGGCTAACAAAGTGAAGTGACATAAACAAAGATCCAAATCATTACAGCTACAAGGCCAAAAAAACGCTGGCTGCTGCTAAACAAGCTGCACACAGCAAGAATACACGTAACAGGATAGGTGATCACCAACCAGAAGCAGAAAAACACACTCAGACACCAAAAGGAGAGGGAGCACCAAGCTTGCACGTGTAATGCAAGAATGAGCAAAGGCAACACAATAAAATACAAAGAAAAGAAGAAAAGAGTGGGTCACTCTGTTTAATTGGGAGGAACAAAAAATAGGCGAAGAAATGAAAGGAGACAGCATCAATGAGTGAAAAGAGACAGCAGTCCACCCTGGGTCAGATTGGAGGGGGAAATCAGCCTTTTCCCTCTTGTTTTACCTAATTTTCAAAATAAAAAAAGAAGAATAAGCATTTTTGTGGTTTTCTTAGAATTGGGAAACACATGCCCAGAATTGCAGGATTTGTGTGCAGGATATGATATGATACAAGTGATTCATACAATTCATCTACAATTCAAGCACAAAAACAATTGGACACATGATTTGTATCACCAGAGCCATGAATCATATTGTGAATCATACAAAACGGATAACACTACACCAATATATTGGATTCCACCAAACATATTCTAAATGATTTTTAAATTTTAATAGCAATGTCAAAGGCACCTTTTATTTCCCTATATCCAAAAAAAATGTGGTATACTATATTTTCATCCAAAACTACCAGCACCAGCCACCTCCTAATAGTTAGAAGCTATGAAGCATGAACTTTGACATGAACACCAAACACAACATAGACACTCCAACATGGCTAATGTCTAAAATATAGGACACTGCATACACACATAGAGAGACTCTAATGAAATGAAATATGAGTAACATAACAAGAGATCAAGATTGATGGTATATTGACCTTTTAAAACTAACGATCTGTGCTTTTTCTACCAATATAACAAACACTACGAATAGGAGAATGATATTATATTTTTAATACTTTATGTTATATTTTAAGCTGACTTATCTAAAAGTTAAAGAATGAGTATTTTTCTAAAAATAATATTAGTGCATGTTCATCCATATAAAGGTGTCAGCTCAAGTGTTCAAGTTGTTAGAAGTGTATACTTAAGTGTCCAAGCCAACAAAAAAAAAATTAGAAATCAAATTAAGAATGTCTGACATCATGTGTCAAACAAGTGTCAGGGAGCGTCAGAGTCAGATATGTGTCCAACAATACGACACATCAAAGCGTCCTTGCTTCATAGGATAGAAGTCAATGTCCTCAGACATATACTGTTCCTAACAGTGAATTGGAAATATTGAGAGACAAGAAGAAAAGCAGGCAGTGTAAAAAGTTAATGAACCTGGGTTAGGAAAAATACACAAATCCACAAAATAAGATAATAAGATAATATAGATTAATCTTTGTTCACGGTCAGGTATCAGAATAATGAACTAGAGGAAACTTTTAAAATGCTATACCTACTCTGAGACATATACCTTCCAAGATAGACACTCAACAAACAGGAAAGTCCGTGAAAAGATAGAAAAAGTTACATCTTAATTCAGTGTTTTTGAATGTGTGTTTTTCCCACGAAACTCAATGATAAAACAAACATACTACAAAATCACATTCAATGAAAAGGAGATAAAAAGTTACATCTTAGTTTGGTACTTTGAAATGTGCTTGTTTTAGCAAAACACGAGTTCCAAAGTTCCGTTCATATAGCTTTTCCTTCAATGGAAACTGTCGTCAAAATAGTACAAGTTTAAAACTCTCAACCCAATGAGCATTTTTCAGCTATTGTCACTACGACTACTGTACATGGACTTCTTTCCAAAAAAAGAAAAAATCATGAATGCCGTTAAAAATTTAACTTGTAGACCATTCCCATTGCAAGAGAATCATTTCTTAAACCCAGGCAAAATCTCATCCAAAAATTGAACCACCCCTTCCAGCAATAACCTAAATTTCCAGATATATGAATAAATAAATAAATAAAACGCTAACCGCAATCACGTCCATCCTACCACGTTAAGAACAATTCACATCGGTTACAATAAACAACAACAGTAATAACAATAATAATAATAATAATCATGTACAAGTCAGAAGCGACATGCGGCGCAATCAACCACGCATCATGAAGATTAAAATCCAGCGAAAAAAATCGAAATTGAAGCAAAATTAGGAACATCCAAAAGACGAATCCGAGTTGATGCAAAGGAGAATTGTGGTTGGTTGATACCTGAGAGCGTGGAAAGGAGCAGCGAGTGTGGTGTGTGGGGAATGAGGTAATGAAGAAAGAGGGAAGGAGTTTTGTTGAAATCGAAACGACAGGTACGTCAGTGTCGTATGCTTTGGGTTGGAATTTTCGCTACTCGTTTGCTTGCCAACCAGGAAAAGTACACGAGACTTCCTCACTCAATTTTCCCAACCCAAATCCAATGCCATTTTTTTCCCCTTTTTCATGCTTTTAGTTACATATAGTTCGCGGAATTTTACTACCTGCGGGCGCGTCTGCGTAAGCATTGTACACGTGTCATTTTGTGGATTTTTGTTAGGTTTTTATTTACTTTCTCATATGAAAAATATTATTGTGTTTAATTTTGTGAAAGTATGAAATTCTAAGAATCCTAATACAAAATAATTATCAAGCATTTTCTGTTTGTATATTTTATTTAATAAAAATAGTTAAAAATTATTAATATTTGATATATTAATTGATATCGTATTTAAATCTAAAAATTTTGAATTTTATTTTTATTTTTATAAAAATAATTTATTTTTAATATTATTTAAAAAATTTAAAAGAAAATTATTTTAAAATATATACTATTAAATGAGATAATTTTTTTATTATATGTTATAATTAACACAAATATTTATTAGCAAAATAATCAATCCCTTGTATCCACAAATTGGATTACATAGGAATAATTAATATAGTGTCTGTTTAATTTTTTATCTTTTAATAAAAATGTATTTTTTTTTTAATAAAATGAATATCTATATACTTTTTGTGTGCTTGTCATATGTTTTGATATAAGTTAGATTTAAAAAAAAAATCTTTATTAAAAATAAAAAATATTTTTTAATAAAAAAATTTTAAAAATATTTCTGAATTTATATTTAAACAAAATCTAAATTTTTTCTTTTAAAATAAGCAAAAACAATTTAATTTTTTTAATAAATAACTCTTACAGACTTCTTAAATAATTACTTTAAAAAAAAATACTTGTGTAGAAATGCTACTTTTTAAGTTTAAACAATTCCATAATCTCCCTTTTTCCCCTTTCTATTTATTACTGTGTATATTAAGTAAAATAATATCCAATGGAACATGTATCAATTTCTCACTCAAGATTCCTTTATTTCATTCGAGAAAATGACAGCACATAAGTGTATTTGCAAAATCATGACATATTGTCTATTATTTGTTATTATATATTAAAATTATTCACTATAAGTCACATGCTTTTTTTTTTTAATTTATACCTAACTTTATCTCTTCTCACTCATTTTTTCTTATATTTTGATATTGCTCACCCACTTTTTACTAACTTTTTATTTTTTCAATTTCTCCCCCAAAATTGCACCACTTTTATGTTAAACTAAGTTTGTGCTTTGATTATTTTTTCACTCACATTTTAATTTTTGTTAAATTCACCTAATATATTGAACTCATCTCATACTTTTATTGCTTTCTCATGTACCTTTAACTTTTTAGTGTAACATTCCAATTTTTTTATTGTAGTTAATTATTATTTATTTTTATATTTATAAAAATTATTTTTTTATAATTATTTTAATTAATTAAATGGGTTTTATAAAATATTTTAAAGGTTTTTAATAATAATTATTTACGAAAATTATTTTTAATATTTTGAATTTTAATAGCCTAGAAAGGTCGTTTCGAAACTGGAATTGATCGTTCCAAACTACTAAAATGATCTATAACCCTAATTAGGAACGGGCTGTTCTGGTTTAAGAACGGGTCGTTCCAAACATGGTCATTGTGGGTTAAACTTAAGCCTAGAACGGGTCGTTCTGGTTTAGGAACGGGTCGTTCCAAATGTGACTTTTACACATGACAAATGGGTCTAGAACGGGCCGTTCCGGATTCGAAATGGGTCGTTCTAGCCACTTCTGACGTCTATAAATAACACGTTCTAACACTCCCAAAAGCACATTTTTGCACTCCTGACTTCTTTTCTTCTACACTCTTTGAGACCAAGGGGAACCTAGAGGAGGAGTCCAGGAAGATCTTGCTTCAGTTTCAGCTCCTACTTATCGAGGTAAGGGGAAGTGAGAAACCTCGCTTTGGGTATGAGAATATATGTTGGTTAGTGGGATTGGCCCCCAATCCTATGTTTGTTGTATGCTCATTTATGAGGGGTTTTTCCCAATTATACGTTTCTTCTATTTGCTCTTCTTATATGTAAATAACGGTATGATTTGAGATCTCTATGAGTTCCTATGGGAAACCCTAAGGGAATGCATTAGTGATTATAAGAGGATATTGTTTGAAGAAGTAATTGTATGAGTAAATTGTACTGTTTTAAATGTTTATTGTATGAATTAGAGTGCTCTATGGGTTCCTGTGGGAACCTTATGAGAATACAATGCCAGGGAAGACCCAATTGTGTAAAAGCTTGGGGATTAGTCATTGGGGATAGCTCAGTTTGTAAGTCTTAGTCTCGCCCATTGTGTGCATGGGATGTATCTTGTACGGCTTAGCTATCCCGACGAGACCCTGGTAGTATGTCCTTCTAGTGAGAGTGCGCAGAGGGTGTGACCTGGCATATACTCCTAGACTACTCTCTCGTGTATTGCTAGCGGCAATACGCCATGTGATATGTGTTACTGGCGCCACATCCATGATAATATGTAGTCCGTGTCCATTACATGTGTATTTTAATATTATATGTTAAAGTGATTTTTATGCCTTTGATGAGTGGAATGTGATATTGTTGTTAATCCATCTATGCTATGTACATATACATGTTTTGTCTGTGTTTGACTATCCGGTGTGTATTCTTACACTCTGAGCTAGAGTGAAATGTTTCTCACTCCCTTTTCTTTTTGTTGTTTTCCTTTTACCATTATACAAGTGATTATCAACATGAGGCTGGGGATGTTGGTGATGAAGCTTAGGCTTCTATGTTAGGCTTTACTCTGATAGGACATGTGACATCGGGGTGTAGATAAAATTAGATTAGGATGTTATTTCTATTAAATTATTTTGAAAACCTTAGCCTTATTTCGTTGTAATTTTCGCTAATTATGTTATTTGTTTAAATTATGGGTGTGGTGCTCTCTATCTGAACATATTTGATATTTTTAATAATGAAAGATTATGTTATTCAAATTTTATTATTTATGTGTTATGGTATGCGGGATAGAAGGTGTCACACTTAACTTTTTTATTTATTTACGACACATCTTTAAAGTTTGTTGAATTTATATATGATGCTTTGATTAATTCCAACTCCCCTTTTAACTTTTGTTTAACTCATCTAATATTTTAATTATTTTCCAATACCTTTATCTTGTTTTGAATTCATTTTATGCTTTGATCACTTTTTCAAGCACTTTTAACTTGTCTCACTCACATCCTCTCACACTTACGAATTATTGAAGTTAACATTATGAAAATTTAGTAACAAGATTATAAGAAAATGCGAGTGGAAATAAGTTTTCATGCTTTGGTTATTTACACTCAATTTTTCATAAAGTCGACATTATAAAAATATACAAAAATTTAATAACAAAAATACATCACATTGCTGTCTCTTCTAACCTCATACATTATGTGTGTGTTTGCATTAGAATCCTGTTTAACTTAAAGTGATAAATATTAATTTTTACGATAAATTTACTTTGGACATGGAAAGAGAAGAAAAAGTTGCGTCAGAAAATAAATACTAAACACACGCTGTATTGGTTTGTGCAGTTGAGATGTTTTGGTGTCACACATGTTACACGTACGTCTAAAACAATTATAAACTGATAAATTATTTTGAATATATATTATTTTAAAAAAAATTATTTAAATCAATCTTAAATATTATATATAAATAATTATTTTGCGTAAAAACGTTTTTAGGAGATTAGTTTTTGATAAAAACATTTTTAGGAACTCCTATAATTTTTTGTTTTTTTTATTTATCATATTTATTTATAAATTAAATTTTAATATTTTAGAATATATTATCAATAATTAAAAATAATTTT